TCTGGACTTCGTTTTTTTGTTTAAAAAGAAACGTTTCGCCCCTCATCCAAGAGGCTTCGTCGACGAAGCCTCTTGGATGAGGGGCGAAACGCACCGTGTTACAAAACAAAAAGTATAGAAGGATGCATGCTAAACAATAGTATTATAAAGTATATTAAACAGCAGCGTGAATATGAGTGTTGTGGGCAGATAGGTATGAATACAGCAGCTTAAAGGCAAGATCAGCAGCATTAAGTGTCAAATCTCCAATTAAAAGTGTCATCACAGTGATATTCCTGGTTAGGATTCATGAGTCTACATCTTCAGGGTAGAAGCTGTTCCTCAGTCGAGTGGTTCTACACTTAATGCTCCTCAACCTCCTTCCTGAGGGGAGCGGGGCAAAAAGTGTGTGCAGGGTGAGTGGGATCCTTCATGATGCATCCTGCATCTAGAGGTGTAAATGTCTGTGATGGTGGGGAGGCTGACTCCAACATCTTCTGTGCAGCCTTCACCACTCTCTGCAAAGCTTTTCTTTCTGCAGCTGTGCAGCCTCCATGCCACACGTTGATGCTGGAGGACAGGATGCTCTCCAATGCACACCTGTAGAAGGAGGTGAGGACTGAGCTTCCCAGACCAGCTCGTCTCAGCCGTCTGAGGAAGTAGTTTCCACTCGTATTTCCACCTGAACGTCTTCTATGAGATTCTTGTCAGATTCCTCCACATTTGTTTACCTACAGCGAGCATCATGTGGGTCAGTCGAGTGCCTCATGCTTCCATGTTACTTTCAACAGATGCAGTCGAGCACTTCGTTTACGCTGAGCGCAGACCTGCATTTCAAAGAAAACTGCTTCAAATGGCACCATCTGAGGTAGTTCAATATTTCATGTTTGATTTCATGCTGAGCACCTTTAAATACAACTACGAATGACAACAGCAGTTTTTTTTAATTTAAAACAGAAAACATGTAAAAAAGGAGACCTGTGAGAATAAAACCTAGTAGGCCTGCACGCTTCCTGTGACTAATAAAAACAAGCAAACTAGAGTCGGTAGCAGATGAACTATGGGCGTGTTCGAGCCAACTTTGAATGTTAACAGTTGATGTCGAAGCAAATGACTCTCAACTTTAACCTTTTATTAGTTTACATTTAAATACTGATGATGGCTGCAGGTGAGTTAATAAGAAACAGATCAGATAAAGAAGCAACAAGGACGTTAAAGATGAAGAAACCACTCCGAAGCAG